GGCTGACGCCACGGCACTCACTCTAGCCCGGGCAACAAAGTGAGACTCTGTCTCAAAAAAAAAAATAAATAAATAAACAACCCAATTTTGAAAATAAGCAAAAGACCTATACAGACACTTCAAAGAAGATACAGATGACAAATAGCTACATGAAAAGAGGCTGAACATCTTATGTCATTAAAGAATTCCACATTAAAACAACAAGGAGAAACTACACACACACAGTTAAATGGCTACAATCTAAAAGAATAGTGTCACCAAATCACCAAATACTGGGAGGATGGGAAGCAACACAGCTCTCATTCATTGCTTGTGGAAATGCAGTATGATATAGCCACTTTGGAAGCCAATTTGGCAGTTTCTAACAAAGCTAAACAAAAGCTTACCGTAGGATACAGCAATTGCACGCCTAGGTATTTATCTAAATGAGTTGAAACCTTACGTCCATGCAAAACCTGCACATGGATTTTTATAGCAGCTTTATATATAATTGCCAAAAATTGGAAGTAACCAAGATGTCCTTCATAGGTGAATGACTAAAAAAAATTATAATACATCCCTAAGTGGAATATTATTTGGTGATAAAAATAAATGTGTTACCAAGCCACAAAAATACATGGAGGAGCCTTAAATGTATATTCCTAAGTAAAGGAAGCCAGTCTGAAAAGGCTACATACTGTATGATTCCAAATATATGATATTCTGGAAAAGGCAAAACTATAGACACAATTAAATGATCAGTGGTTGCCAGAGGTTGGGGTGGGGAACGGAGGTGGTGAAACTATTCTGTATGCTACTATAATGGCGGATACATGACAATATATATTTGTAAAAAACCCACCAAACTATACAATACAAATAGTGAACTCTAATGTAGACTGTGGACTTTAGTTAATAATGGATCAATATTGGTTCATCAATTGTAATAAATGTACCACACTAAAGCAAAATGTTAATAATAGGGGAAAGTGGGGTCTGGGGGAAGGGAGTATGTGGGAATTCTCTGTACGTCACGATTTTTATGTAAACTTTAAGTGCTCTAAAACAAAGTCTACTAAAATTTTTAAAAGGAGCTTAAAGAAAGTTAAGTGAGGTCTCTGGAAATAGAAACAGACTCTGTGATTGGCAGCTACTGAACATTAAATTTATCATCAGAAACCATCTCCTAATAAAAAAAAATTCAAAAACTCAAAAAACATGTTGAGCATTCCAGTGCTTTCCTCTATTATCAAAATCTAAACATAATGGATGTCTAAATTGTAAGGATGAGAAAGAGCACAAAAACAGAAATATGTCTAAGGCTCTGGGAGAGCTCAAATTAGGGGTAAAATGTTTTTGCAATTATCGCTCAATCATTCCATAATTCCTGTAATCAAAGGCAATGAGCAATTAAGTCAATGATGATTAAGAGGTAAATTAAGTCCCTGTTCATCTACTAATTAATTATAAAATATTTATAAAAGTGTATATCATACACTTTCTTCCACAAAGATGACAGATGTCAAGATGTACGTGCTGCCCCTAAACCAATAGTCTCGCGTTCTTTTGTGCAGATTAATGTGGAATCTTTGAAAAATCCAGATGTCTGAGCCCTTTTGAATCAGACTTTCCATAAGTTCAAGCACTGTATCTTCTACTAAGCTTCCCAGTCGATACTTATGCACACCAAAATGTAAGTACCACAGACCTAATCTACAAAACTAGAAAATACGATAACCTATAGGATAGTTATACTTTTTTTACATTTACAAGTGAGAACCACGCAGAAAATACTGTTGTAAGAATTTCTTGCTGAAGAAAAACTCCTGTCATTGACTTTACTCTAAAACAATTTTTAAAATCTTGCCTGAATGTCTCTGTACCTAGGTGTAGTAACTAAAAGGCTTTCTGGTATATTATATTAACAAACCACAAACCTATTGCAAAAGGTGCACTCACTCTTTAAAGCTCTATGTGAACTACAAACATCAGTAATCAATAAATGATTACTTTGGTAATGATTATTTTAAAACAGATAATTAGTGTTTCCGTTGTTTTGTTTTGTTTTGTTTTACCAGATACCTGCATAGAATAATGAAGAACTTGACAAGCAAAATTGACAAGGCTTGTTGCTGTTCTTCTAACCCATCTGCCATTTTCTGAACACACTGTAGCAACTGGATCCTCAGAACCTGCAGAATATTATCCGGAAGCAGAGATATTCCTGGAGGCACATCATCCACCCTACAATATAAGGGAAAGAAAATAAGAAGGATGTTGAAATGTAGGAAGAAAATCCCTGGCACTTAAACGAACTGCACTTTCAGTCCAAATTCTAAAGAATACCCTGTGCCTTCTTGCCTGTAAGGCACCACCAGATAATTATTAACTAGAAGATTATTAGAGCACTGTGGTTAGTCTTACTTCACAAGAGAATTACTGAAGAGAGAGAGAGAGAGAACATGAACGACTAATATCTTCAATTGTACTTTTTTTTTTTTGAGACAGTCTCACTTTGTTGTCCAGGCTAGAGTGCTGTGGTGTCAGCCTAGCTCACAGCAAACTCAAACTCCTGGGCTCAAGGAATCCTACTGCCTCAGCCTCCAGAGTAGCTGGGACTACAGGCACATACACCACACCCACCTAATTTTTTCTATTTTTGGTAGAGACTGGGTTCTTGCTCTTGCTCAGGCTGGTCTCAAACTCCTGACCTCAAGCAATCCTCCCGCCTCGAACTCCTAGAGTGCTAGGATTACAGGCATGAGCCACCACGCCTGGCAAATTGTATTATTTTTAATGAAAATATTCAGAACATGAATTTACTTTCCGCTTAGAAATAATATTAACATGTATACCAAATATTATGTATACTAGAATACATACCATTTCTAAAAGAAGCAATAACTACCAAATAAAAATGAAGTATCTATAACAAGTTTAATATTTGTCAACTACTTTACTAAACATCATCGACCTACCTATAGACTCTGGAAGCCGTGTGATCAGAAGAGGGAGAAAAGACAACCAGCAAAAGGAAAGGAGAAAGATATGAAGGTGGGGGAAAAAAAGGGTGAATGAAGAACCCTTAGCATGAACATCAACAGAAGATTTTTTAAAGTTTTTTAACCAATGTTTTGTGACAAGTGGTTTCTGTATAAGAAGACCGTATGCTTCCTTAAGGGCAAATGCCAACATCAGATGTGAGCGGCTCCTCTGGTGTGTCTCTCATCATAAAAACCCACACCTAGATTCAAAGTCTAAAGACCTAGGTACTAAAGAACTATAAAAATGTACTTTAAACATACCATCGCTAAAGCCTAAGAATCTTCTCATGAGCCACTGTATACTAATTTCCCCTACTGCTATTAAGAAAAATGTCCAAATGTGAAAGGAGCTTCCTAAAGAGCACCTATGATTAAATGACAATTATACTTTAGTAGTCTATTCTTCAGATCATGTTTAATCTGAAGTATTACTAGTATTTTTACACTTGAGTAAAAGGCTATTTTATTAACTACAGACAGAAAAATTTGAAGCGCATTACCAGTAGTCACAAAAATACATAGAATAAATATAATTAGTCTCTTTCTGAACCATCCTACAACATAAATTAAGGAAGTTTGTTTGTTTGTTTGAGACAGGGTCTCACTCTGTCACCCAGGCTGGAGTGCAGTGGCATGATCACAGCTCACTGCAGCCTTGAACTCCTGGGTTTAAGCAATCCTCCTGCCTCAGCCTCCCAAGTAGTTGGGACTACAGATGCGTGCCACCATGCACGGCTAATTTTTTTAATTTTTTGTAGAGATGGGGTTTCGCTATGTTGCCCCAGCTGGTCTCAAACTCCTGGGCTCAAGTGATCCTCCCACCTTGGCCTCCAAAATCCTTGGATTACAGGTGTGAGTCACGACACCCAGCCAGAAAGTGTTTTAGAAAATTAACACTTGATTTTAATTAAATTACACAAAAAATAAACCACAAAGCACATTAAAAATAACGTCAAATTCTATAACCAAGTTACAAACGTTTCATTTTAGTCTGGGTATCACTTCACTTGCCGTTTTGGATTCTTTCATTCTCTTATTTATAGATAGTACCAGAAAAATCTCTCACTTTTATACATACTTTTTTCCTGCTAAAGAGCTAAAGAGAGGCAGTCAAAAAAACCAGAGTAATCTCAAAATAATAAAGATTTAAATATATTAATTTTCAAGACTAGCCTAAACTATTCCTCCCCACTTTTCCAAAAACATATGTCAACAAGAAAGAAAACATTAGATTTTCTAATATTTTATTCTTCCTATTTAAAAAAGTATTTTCCTTTGTCCTTGGTCATCTTGTTCTCTGTTTGCACGTTTTTAAATAAGTAACTAGATAGTGTAAAAGAAATAGCTTCTAAAAGAGAAATTTTTTTTAAACTAACTCTCAATAAAATTGAGGCTCAGTTAGAACACACCTTATATAATTCCATAAATCCTAACTCTATAAAGTTGAAATTTTGCCCATGTTCCTAATGTGATGAACATTTAAAAACTTGGAAAATGTTCCTACCTCTAGCACTTTACTATCCAAAATTCTATGCTCCTTTTGCTGTCATTTCCCAAATTCCAGAAATCTGTTCCATTCTTCTGTATTGAACATCTATTATAAACAGCTGCCAATGGTTGGCTGTGTCTAACACAGGAAGAAGCCTAGCTTAACGTTCAAGGCTTTGAGCTGCGGTAAAAGCCATCTCTGCCTTGCATTATGAATTCTCTAACTTGGAAATTCTATAAAGTCAGGTGTTTTTTTTTTTCATCTTTTCAGTTTGCATGTAAAGTCAGTTTACTTTAAATGAGGATTATCCATGTGTTTCTTACCTTTAAGGAGACTTGACTAATTTTATTCAATGTCTTGCATATAGCATGTACTTGAAAATCTGAAGGTTTTCTATTAGTAAAATTAAATTTACGGTTCAGTTTTTTCAGTTTTGATATGAAACACAATTTTAAATAAACCAACTACATTGCAAATAAAGCAGTGCTCTTGGTATTCTTCATCTTACTTGAAACGTTGTGGTGGTATAAGTCTATATAATATGTTTGGAAAAGATCTCCCAAGAAAGGAGACATTTTCAGTGATGTGTAGATGATAACAACTGTAGCTTAGAAACTTTAGAAGCCTTTGCTCCAATATTCTAAACATTCAAAGGCCCAAATCCTAACTCCGTAAATCCTTAGGCCCATGATTTAAAATCAACTTTATGCTGGGTGCAATGGCTCACATCTGTAATCCTAGCACTTTGGGAGGCCAAGGTGGGATGATCACTTGAGGCTAGGCGTTTGAGACCAGCCTGGACAATATAGCAAGATCCCATTTCCACTAAAAAATTTTAAAAATTAGCCAGGCGTGGTGGCATGCACCTGTTATCCCAGCTACTCAGGAGGCTGATGTGGATCACTTGATCCCAGGAGTTGGAGGTTGCAATGAACTATGATCACGTCACTGCACTCTAACCTGGGCAACAGAGATCCTGTCTCTAAATAAATAAATAAATAAGAGCTGCAAATTATTAAAATAAAAGTATGTCTAAGCACAAATTATAAGAATATTCTGGCTGGGCATGGTGGCTCATGCCTGTAATCCTGGCACTTTGGGAGGCCGAGACAGGAGGATCACTTGAAGCCAGGAGTTCAACACCAGCCTGGGTAACACTGTAAGAACCCCA